AATAAATAGCAAGGCATATTTGGTCAAGCAGACGACGAAACAAAATGGTAAGAGCATAGTCCTTAGAAGATTAACATAATATAGCAAATAAGTATATGACAAGAACATACATATATAATCACTATCGCTTAATGTTTTGAACCAAATAATGAAATAAAAATATTTATTAAGAAGGCATGAGACAAAAATTAACTCACTTCACAGAAAGACTGTATCCTTTTCCACCAGCTTCACTTTGTCTTAGCAACATGGCGCCATTTTTCTGGAGATGTTGGCCTGTACCTGGATCAATCTCAAGAAGACGTTCTTCTGCTTCCATTCTGCTACAATTGCGCACATACCAAGAATGAGGTCGTAAGGATAGGTAATTACATGGGACCAAACCCGTCCGGCCTTCCTGCTCCGCCATGTACCAATTCGGATCATCTTCAACACTCAGGATCTATAACCATTGTAACATGTCCGAATTTAAATAAAAAGACGGTTAACCATTTACAATTATGCCTAGAGGCAGAAACGCCTAACAATTTATAAAAATAAATGATAGAAAAATTCTGACCTTAAGTAACGATCCTTTGGAGAATCCCAGCTCATCCTCCGCATTCGCTACAAAATCGTGTAATCCATCGGCCTCCATATCAGCTCAACGAATAAATGAATGAGTGCCGAACAGGAGTGGAAAAAGTATGCAAGCAGAATAGATGGAAAAGAGAAGACACGAGCAGCAACAGAAAGAGAAGACTAAAACAAGGAATCTGGAATGCCAGGTATCTCATAACTAAGTCGTCAAGTAAATATAAATAAATCACCCTAATAAAGCATTTAAGTAATGCTGTATTACCTGGCTAATAGTCTACTACAATAAACATACTATTCATCATATAAAACTCACTCATTAAATTAACGTTGGTTTCAGTTCCCTCATGTGTAAAGGTTTAATTATTTGTATTTTTAAAAGACTTTGAATTATAACTTTGAATTATACCTTTTAACTCTATTACGTTATGGTTTTAGTGGGTTAAATTAATTATTTGCTGTTTATTACACTCAACGCATGCAGTCTGGGAGATAATTCAAGCTCTTCTCTCGACAAATAGCTAAATCTTATTCAAGGAAAGAAAAATTTATCTTTATTAGATCCCATTATTTCCAATAGATGAA